AACAACAACAACAACAGAACATATGAATAAGAATACGACATCAACAGGAGAGGTCCTGGCATGTGCCTCCCACTCTGAACCCCAACAATATCTTGTGGGGAAGGCTTCTTCAACCTCTCCCATCCTTTTTTTCTTTATTCCTGTGAAATGTTAATCTCTTGTGAGTTTTTTCGGGTTCATGTGTTTTAGGAAGTTTGGTGGTATGATTTAAGAAATGGGGGCTGGAAAGAGAAAAGGATAGTTATAACTCCCACTGGGGGCTCTGCCTTCCTTTGCCCCAGTGTTCCTGGGGTTGGAGGTCTGGGCTTTCGGGGAAAAAGTTCCCAGAAGAGGTGGCAGCTAGAGTTTGAAATCAGACTTCTGCTGACTCCTGATGAAGCTGTTGCCTCTTTCTCCCAATTTTTTCTTCATATTTCTTGAAAGTATATTGGTATTTTAAAATCCGTACAGCAAGAACAACTTTATCTGTCCAATAAAAAGAAGAAATTTAAAAACCGAATATGGCATCAGGATTGGAGAAAAATTCATCAACAACCTGTGGCAGGGAGATAACACAATTTTGCTTGCAGAAAGTAAAGGAAACTTAAAGCACTTATTGAAGAAGATCAAAACTACAGTCTTTCATATGAGTTACATCCCAAAATAAAGGGAACAAAAATCCTCACCACTGGACAGATAGGCAACATCATCATATGTGGAAAAAAATACTGACGTTCTCCATGATTTCTTTCACTTTGATCCACAATCAACATTCACGGTGGCAGCAGTCAGAAAACAAAAGATTTGGTGCCTTAGCAAAATCTTCTTTCAAGGACCTCTCTAAAATTCAAACAGGTAAGATGTCAGCTCAAAAATTAAGATGATCCTTATTCAACCAATGGTATTTTCCGTTGCTTTCTATGCATCAGAAAGCTGGACAAAAGATAAGGATGACAGGAAAAGAATTGATGCTTTTGAATTGTAATTCTGGCAAAGAATATTGAATACCCTGTAGACTGTCAAAAGAATAAAGAAATATGTCTTAAAGGATTGGAAGCAAGAAGAGCATATACTTTCTAAGCAACATGCCTCCAGAAACTCCAGGAACTTCGATAAATGACAGTAGTTGTACAGGAGCTTCTGGCCTTTTGTTCATAGGGTTGACCAGAGTGTTCCCTAGAGGCAAGAATGATGAAAATTGTCTCACATATTTTGGTCAAATTTTCAGAAAGAACAAATCTTTGGAGAGAGACATTATACTGAGAAAGGTAGAGAGAAAAAGAGAGGAAGACTCTCAACAAGAAGGATTCACCCAGTCACTAACCATAATAGACTAACGCATTACAGAGATTATGAGGACGGGACAGGATAAGACTAGGATGTTCATATGGTTGCTATGAGTCGTCAACTTGATGGCACCTAGGAACACTAACAACATTTTGTTATGTCTGTAGGGCTGCTGTGCTTACCCAAAGGCACTGCTTCTCTGGTGCTTCAAATCTACCAGCCACTCTGAGGGAGAAATGTAGGTATTCTCCCATGTAATGCACAGCTTCCTAAAAACCCACTGGTGGGTTAGCTATAAATCAGTTCTAAGTTGATGGCAGTAATTTTGAAGTTCTCCTGATTTTACAATTATTGAAATTAAAAAAAAAACATTACTTGCTAAGTCATTTGGTTGAAATCCTGGCACTTGTGGTGTATTCCACACATTTTACCTTTTGTCTTTCTAAGTAGGAGCTTTTTAGTAAGTTTTAATTAAAGTACCTATAACATACTTTGGACATGTTGCAAGGAGGGACCAGTCCTTGGAGAAGGATGTCATGCTTGGGAGGTTGGAGGGACAGTGCAGGAGAGGAACACCCTCTATGAGGTGGATTGACTCAGTGACTGGGGTAGTGTGAGTAGGTGTGTCAGAGACATTGAGATCGGCACAGGATAGAGCTGGGGTTAGGACTGTTGTACATAGGGTCACTATGAGTCTCAGGTGACTCAACGGCACATAACAACAACACAGCTACCTACGAAAATGGGCAACAGTCTAGGTTGGTTTCACAAAGTGAGGTAGAGAACATTGATGATGGGGTTAAGAGGAAGGACCAGAAGATGAGCTCACTGGATCGATGGCAATGAAGAAAGGCTGATGCTGAAGTGGGATCTGTTGGAAATTGAGACAGAATTTTTGAGACAGAAAGATGTGCTTGAAAGCACATGCTCATTTGACCTTGATCCTAATTTTAAACAAATATTGTTTCAAATGTAAAATAAACAAAGGGATGAAAACAGGTGACTCCCAAGCAGAGAACTATTTTTATATCTACTTAACTGATTTATCTGACACTTTGTGTAAGCTCTTCGAAGTTCTCTGAGCCATGATAGTCCTCATTTGCCAAACAGAAATATATAGATAACTGGACAAGGAATATGGATGACAGAAGAATTGATGTGTTTGAGCTGTGGTGTTGGAGAAGAACACTGAACATTGCACGAATTGCCAAAAGAACAAACAAGTATGTCTTGAAGAGGGTGCAGCCAGAGTTCTTTGGAGACAAAGATGATAAAGCTTCACCTCACATACTTTGGGCATGTTGCTAGTTGGGGTTATTCTTTGGAGATAGAGATGACGCTAGGAAGGGTCAGTGAAGGAGAGGAAGAACCATGACGGGGTGGGTTGACACAGTGACTGATGTAATGAAGATGGCACAGGATAGGACGGGGATCAGATCTTTTCTTCATAGCATTGTACTTGACTTGATAGTACCTAACAACAACAACCTTTTTTAGTTACACAGGCAAAGAATCAAATTTTGCCCACCAAGGAAAGGAAACGATATCCTCCCATGATTGAGACTACAGAAAATTCCTCCACAAACCTTACTTCACAAAAAAACTAGCTGGCAGAGTCTTTCTTTTCACAACTCTAAGGCCCTGAAGAGCAGAGAGTTAAGCCCATTGGGCACCAACACATTCTTTTATAGAAATAGCTTCTAAAATCTGCTAAAACCATCTGTTTCACTGGATGTTTCTCCTTTCAGTGTATTTTTTTCATGTGTTTTTTGTTACCAACAACAACAAAAAATCTATTCTAAAATAACCAAGAGGCTATGACTAAAAAAGCCTGAGGTATCTTTCCAGTTTATGAGAAAAACAGCTTTTCAACGAGGAGTTGGGATTATCTCATGTAGTGGAAGGCAATGTTTCCTCAAATCTTATGTTTGCACTAAGAAAACAACCAGCTACTCTCATTAAAAGACTACGTAGCAAGATTTGTAATTGTGTAACTGAATTCGATGCTGCTGAAATTTGTCAGACCTAAAAACTACTGAACACTTTCATTTTACATTAGGGGAAATTGCCTAAGAAAATGTCTCTTAACCTATAACAGGTCTTTTGCTGAGCTCAAAGAGTCATAGGTCATCCATTCATACATTTGCATGATTTCTAGCACCACAGGGGGCTTCCCATGGATTTGGTTTTTTCCTACTTGGAGCAGGGAGATTGTGGGAAGCAGTAAATGTGTATAGAGAGGTCCTTCTTCTGACTTCCTTTCTAAGTCTCTGTTGTCTGTTAATACCTGCTGCTTAGACGCCACATTGTGCAATTATGCACTTTCAGGAGCCCTAGTGGGACAATGTTTAAACATTTGGTTAACTAATAAGTTTGTTAGAACCCACTTGCTGCTCCATGACATAAAGGACCTAGCAATATGCCCTCATAAATATTTTATTTAGGATCCCTTATGCAGAGATCTACTGTGTCCTTTAGAGTCACCATGGGACCCTGGTAGTGCAGTACTGACAGTTCTCAACTGGTAAGCTGACAAAGTAGTTGGAACCCTTCAGCTGTGCCATGAGAGAAAGAATGGGCAATCTGCTTCTGTACATATTACAGCCTTGGAAACCCAATTACGTTTATAGAACCCAAAAAATAGTTTTACACATTCAATGTCCTACAGGACTACTATGACTTGGATCCACTGAACGACTAAGAATTTACAGGGTCATTATAAGTTAGAATTGACTCAATAACACACAGCAGCATGTTTGCTCCTCTAGCCAAGAGTTCACGAATTGTTTTCCTTCTTTAAACAGCTGTTCTTTATCATATCCATACACTTGTATGTCTCTTTATCCTAACAACTTCAACTTTTCTCAGTGATTCCATTTTGTATTTAAAAGATCCTTAGTCTGACATTCTTCTCTGACTCTCACCTGGGTTCACCTTGGTTGATGGACATATAGATCTCCCAAGAATTCTCCTCAGGGATGGCCCCATGCGGTATGAGTAAACTCACTCCTAAAACAGAAAAATGCAATGGGTTATTTGGCAATGTTCTAGTTACCTTGAAACATCTCAAAATATTACGCTTACCCATAGACAATTCATGAAATCCCAATCCTTGGAAAGTCTATGAAGTCCAAAGTAAATGAAACAAAACCCACCTCTAATTTCCATGGAGTCAGAAGCAACTCATATCTGACCCTCTAGCAAGTTTTCAGAGGCTATAAACCACACTGGCGTGTCAAATGAACAAAATAATTAGGATGTCAAAATTATTCTGTAAGAGGGCAATATCTAACAGTTGTGTTCAAATCCCTTTCTTATTTTAAATCATTTCAGAATTTTTGAGATATTTTAAAAGACTACGTTCTCTAAGCAAAGCTCTTTCAAAGCTACCTGAGTTAAGAGTTTACCAGGGAATTAATTAATCCATTTTATATTTTGAAAATACATTTATTTATCTTTTCTCTCTACTCTTTTATTTATTGTAAAGGTAACTAAGACATCATGGGAGTCATCCAATGTTTGGGCATAACCTGAGATGGGATGAAAGAGTCTTCCAAATTGTGTATCTGGGAGTGAATGGGTAGAAAAATCCTCCGTGGAATACTGTACTTAGTCCAGGAAACTGAAGAAACAATGTGCATCTTATAAGTTTAAATGCTTAATAGGTTGTTGTGTAGCCAATAGTTGCCTCTAAACTTCCAGACAGGAAGGTGAGATTAGAGATGGCTTAACAATATTCAAGTCTATGTCAAAATAAAAGGCTACAAAACCCACAAAGCTTTATTTCACTAAAACCATATAATACAGTGATGCCACGTACAAGAAGCCACATGATGCTGCATTTAAAATATGCCCTTTCTCTCTGTGAATGCTGTGAAGTAAATATTTCACTTTTGCCAAGAGAGAAACGTCTAGAGAGGGCAGAAATTCTCTTTCATGTAGCTTCTTGTTTATAAGAAGAAATAAAAGAGGCACAGTAATATCTTAACAAAATAAAATCTCAGGGCATCCTCCCATTCTTTGAATAATGCAGCTTTCACTCCTTGCCTTTCATTAGAGCTAATGTAGATACACAGAAAGCTTTTGGGTTGCTGGTGATAATTTAAATCTGGAGAGGGAAGGCTTTACTGATATCCTTCTATGTGCTTGTTTGTTAGCTGCTACAGATTTGAGAAATCTGCGATTTACTGCAAAGCAAGTTATTAATGATTCACATTTACGAGCATTATTCAAGAACACACTGGTTATCATTCGTATTTTTCACTAGCACTAAGAGTGAGGCATGTTTAAATCTTGCTTACAGCCCTTCAGCAAGGAGGTCCATTTATATTCTGGACCTTAATGCCAATATAGAAGAGCATAATTGCCTTTCATAGGACCTCAAATTAAACTCCACCTTCTATTTCTCCACCTTCTATTTCTTATTCTTCAAATGCGGCTACCAAATGAAGGGACTTTTATTACATCCTTCCTTGTTGATGAACAGAAGTTGTAATGCATAGGATGTTCAGTGTATTGGTATGCCAAACTTAATACACATCCTAAACATTATGTCTGTACTCTTACTCTGATGTAGCATTCCTCTCTTTTATCTCTCTTTTTAGACTGTAATAACAGAAACATTCAGTTCCTAGACTCCAGATACAGTTACAAAGGAGACTATCATCAAACAGTAACACGTGGTATAATGCTGGGCACAGAGAAAGGACTCAATAAATATGTAATAAACATGCGAATGAAAGTATAGGATTGCCAATCTTCAGTAAAACCATCAGGTCCTAAGACATATTTTCTTCTACAGATTATCACTTTGAACAGTTACTGTGGAGAATATCACATCTCATTCCTTTCAAGTCAGCTGAATGCCCTATGTTTACATTGAAACATTATTCACAACAGTCTAAACTCATTCTGAATCAATTGGATCATTGGATCATCTCTTCAATCAGATTTTGTGTTATTATTCTCAGAATAACCTCTCTCTTCTTACCAAAACACACAAATGGTGTGTGGCGCTACAATATATTCCAATCTGGAGGCAAGAATGATGGGAGCGGTCATAGTTACAGCAAGCGATATTTTATGAAGAATGAGAGACATTGTGAGAGCTTTAGACCTGTGGTCCCCTAAAGTGGCAAGCGTTTTCAGTATGCCCTTCACCAGTTATCTGTGATTACAGAAAAATACATTCCCCCAAACTACACCTGCCAGCATTTTATCTGATACGACAACAGAACAGAACCACCTGTCTGACTTTCAGATTCCATACTTAGCATAACAAATTATCTCTGAAGTATAGGGAACAACTTGATCTTTTTGAAAAATCATTGCTAGACACTATGTAACACTTTTCAGTGGATGACATAAGAACAATCTAATTTCTGTGCCTCACTTTCTTTATACTCTATCTCCCTCGGGCATATTTTGCATTTATGTCCTGCGAGTAACAGAGCATATGCTTCAATTCCCCACTCGTATTTGTCCTCAAACTTATTCCCAGTGAACAGTTTCAATATTGTCCAAGGCTCCTGATTAGGAGCTTGGAAAATGCTCCTTCACAGAGAAAACAGCTTGGGAATCACTAGCAACCCGATTAGAAACTTTTGTTTCAGCATGAGTGCTTCTTAAGCCAGAGGGAAGAGAGAAGGATCTCTGGCTGTACAGAATTCAGCTCTTAACTTTCTTTAATTAATGGTAAACAAATGTAGCCAATGGATGGGTTACTCTTATGATTCTTGTCATATGTGTGTGTAAATGTAAATGAATGAGAGAAGAGTGCAGATGATTTATTAATCCAATACCTACAGAGAGTTTTTCCTAAGTGCCCAGCACAGAGCTAGAAAGTGAAGATGAGATAAATGTTCAAATAATACGTCTTTTGTGTATATCCTGTTCTCTTTGAAAGAGCATGAATTCTGCCACTTTCCTACCATTTTCCAGAACCTATAATCCTGGCTTACGGATTCTTACCCAGAGGGTACTTGCTACTATAGCAGACTGACTCATTTTGCAATGTATTTTCTATAGTCACCTGCTAGTTAACACCAGAGAAGACTGTATCATGTAAACACTCAGACATATTGAAATTAAGGTCTCTACCATGCCCTAAAATAATAAATGAGAGCGATTTAGAGGTTGGGGAAAGTTGGAAAACAACACCATTGTAAGGGCTACATCGAGAGAGGTATTTGCCTAAAAAGGAATTTGTAAACGAGTGATTCATCTAGAAGACTAAGACAATATTCATCAACTTGATAGAAATATCAATCTCAAATCATTAAGCTACTACGGAGGTCAGCTAGCTGCAATAGTTGCATTAGACTGCTCTTATTACAGATTTCATTTAAAAACAGAAAATGTTTGCTTCAAAGAAGTTTGCTAGCTTTATCAACAATCTGCCCAGAAATTGGCCTTAAAGACCATGTTTTGATGTTAACCAATTGCTTAATAATACTTGCCAAGCCAGTGGACTCCTATTCCTGTTAACAGTCTGCAAAATGGTTACTTCACTACGTAACTCCCATTACTCAGAAATCAGGGAAGATACTGATCCCTTCTGCTGCCCTGTTAGGTCTCAGATGAAACTCTAAAGACTGATCCATAGTTAGAATATTATTTAAAATGTTATCTCTTCTGAATATCTTAAATACCCTGTCAAAGCAATAAGGAAATCTCCCTCTCTTGCGAAAAGAGGGGAAAGTGCTCAAAAACTACACATGCTTATAACATAGCCCTGAAACTGAAGTTCAGATCCTTATTATTGCTCATTGTGAAGTTGCATTATAGCCAAGTCTACGGTCCTTGAGAATGGTCAGTTATTGACGATGTCACCCTGAGAGATATTTCATTAAACTACCCACTAGTGCATGAATCACACTTGGGTATAAATATGTACAATGCCAGCCTGGCCTTGGGCTATGTCAAAGAATGTGTTCAATGCTTGCTTTTCATGATAATGGAAATATAGTTCAGAAGAGTTTAAGCCTTGAGGCGCTACTCACGTCTATTAGTAAATATGGCTGCCAGCTCTAACTAGGCATCACAGGAAGTATTCACAATAAGCTAAGATGAAGAATGCAAAATATATTCTCAGTCTTCATTGTCATTTCTTATCAAAATCAAACTGACTGATGGAGCCATGGTGCTTGTAGCGCTAATGGATAGAAAAGCCTCTTAACATGGCTCTGAAAAGGGGTGATCATACAAATGGAAAACATTCACACAAATTCTAGAAAATACATACATATCACTCACCTGTATTTGGCATGACTAAACGCCCTCCTAAATGGCCAAACACACCAGTTGTCCTTAGTTCTGTCCTTGTGGGTAGGGATGACAAATTTTGAATGTATGGTGTTTTGTTTCTGGGATGCATTGTTGTAAAACTGCGGTTGTTTCCATGAGGAAAAGTCCCGGAGTGATTCTTGCCATGGTACTCGGCTCTCTCAGACACTCCCAGGGAAACCATGAATGAACTCTGGACTTTGACCTTGATGTCTGACAAAGGGTTAAAGAGTGAAGACTCGGTCATGAGTTCCTTGTCCAGGGGGTCCTGCAGGCAGATGGGCCCACTGTACGTTCGGCTCACTGTCAAGTCTGGTTGCATGGAAGAATTCAAGAGTAGGGAGTTACCTGGGTTAAAAAAAAAAATAAATCTGTTATTCTGAAACTAAAAGGCACCTCTGTCACCTCATTTATATCTGTCTCTACTAACTACACAACTATTTATATGATTGTTAGCTGCTCCACTTAGAGCCAGTTTTTCATGGTCCTTGTGTGAAAACATGATCATGGACTCAACAGCTCTGTCTTTCACAGAGGATCCTCAGAATACCAGGGTTTCTCTTAACGCTGTCTTTTCTGAACACGTATTTCTGGCACTCTTTCTGGTAACGACCTCAGGTATTATTATTTATGTGATTATTTCAACTGGCAAAGTGAAGCTAATTTATAAAAAGGAAGATGTTTTGCAATCTACTTCAGAACAAAAATAACATCTGCTCATTTTAAATGGCAAGAGATGACACAGCATGGTGACTAGGTAGTGCTGTTTATAACTGAGGCTGCATTGATTCCAGCACATTTCACATGGAACCCTGGGATTCTAGACCTGCAGGAGGAGAGGAAGGGTCCACAGAGGGAAAAGGTCAGGAGACCTTAAGAATTGTTCCAAGTCTGCATGGCCAATTTGATATAATAATGACTATGTCACTCTGAAATTGAAAGGGTACAACACAGGGATTTTGAGGGACTTGAATTCTGTCTGAGGAACGGCCTACAATAGCTTCCTTCCTGACACAAATCAAATGAAAAAAACAAAACAAACCACAACAACTTCACAAAAACATGAGAAATTGGACTTTGCCATCTGTTGGGGCTCACCAGGTTTTTTTTTCGGAGCCAAATATTAAAAACAAATGCTGTGGTATTTTCTAGTGATGAACTAATCTCATTTATTAGTAAATAACAAAATAACTCTCAGTCCCATACCTTCCACCCATATAAGTCTGTCAATGTGACATCTCAAATTGAAACCCAAACCATATTAAACAATTTTCCTTTGGGGCCTGACAAAAATGTTTAAAGTATGATATTTCTGGAAATGTTGCAATTCTAGGCCATATTGTATTAGCCTCTATTGTTTTTCTTTTTTCATAATTTGTAGCAGCGCCAGCAGAAAATCCATGATGACTGCTTTTCCCACCTCTCTCTTCAATGTTTTAAGAACTCACCATCACAGAGGATGAGGTTCAAAACTAAATGTAACAAGGTATAGATCTAAAGGTTCCTTGATGATGATTTTTTTCCCCTTGAGGCATAAAGAGAAAGGGACAATCAAGGCACTGTGCTTATTAATAGAATTTTACTCATTCGATTGGCTACCATATTGCTCTTGTTTCCCATATAAGAAGTTGGGTTGAAAAATAGGCTCACAAAAGAGTTTAGAACAGTAATTCACAGTGAAATCTGAAAAATCATAATCTTGATTCATCTGGTTTATTTCAAGTCCACACTTCCTGAAATTTTATTTATGGCTATTCTTTTTTAAAAAAAAACATTTATTTTATTAATTTAAATGAAAGTTTACAGAGACTTATGGTTTCCAGTCATTCATTGTTGCACTTTTCTCACTGCCCACGCATTCCCCCAATTCACTCTTCTCCTTGAAAAGAAAAATAAAAACTCTTCCATTGTTTTGCAATCCCTCCCCACAAGTCCACTCCACTATGCAGCCTTCACTCTGGAATTCTGTAATGACAAGAATACTCATTCATATTTCCCTTTTAAACAGTATTCTCCCTCATCTGTTTCAATGCAATATACATCATTCCTCCCCTCCTTTTCTGTCTTCCCTCAACCTCGATGTCAGTCCCGTTTTACAACAGTGGCCCTATGAAATATTTGTCCTTTTGTGACTGAGATATTTCACTCAGTATAATGTCCTTCAGGTCAATCCATTTTGCATAATATTTCATGAGTACCTTGTTTTTCAATGCTGCATAGTATTCCATCGTCTGAATATACCAGAGCTTCTCTATCCATTCGCTTGTTGATGGGCACGTGGGTTGTTTCCAGCTTTTTGCTATTGCAAACAAAGCTCCAATAAACATGGGTGTGCATATATCGGCTTGGTGGCAGTTATGGTTTCTTTAGGGTAAATTCTCAGTAGTGGAATTGCTGGGTAAAATGGTATTTCTATTTGCAACTTTTTGAGAAAGCGAATTTATGACTATTCTTAAAAGATTGTTTTAGTTTATTTTAAATATAAAAGCAAAAATATTTCCTGGAGCCAGACAAAACCGAAATGCAAGATGTCTTGTTATAAAACGATTTAAGAATGCTTTTATTTGAATCTTTCTAATCGCTAGGGATTTTGAACATTTCTTCATGTGTTTGTTTGCCATCTGAATGTCTTCTTTGGTGAAGTGTCTATTGATATCCCGTGCTCATTTTGTGACTGGATTGTTTATCTTTTTCTTGTTCAGGTGCTGGACTATTGAATAAATTTTAGATATGAGTCCCTTATCAGATATGTCATTATCAAATATTTTTCCTAGTCTTTAGACCCTGTGGGAGAAATTCTTTAATATATATAGGGTTTTGATTCCTAGAAGGTCTCATTCATCTATTTTGTTCTCTCCTGGTTGTAGGTTTTTCATTATGCTTGGAAGACCACAGGACATTATAATCAGTGAAATATCTCAGTCATAAAAGGACAAATGCTGCATAACACTACTGTTATAAAGCAGGTGTGACATGGGTGTTTGGGAGGAAAATAGGATAAAAGTGGATAGATAATGAAATGATAATGCATTAGAACAGATGAAAGAAAGACCTGTTTATATGGAATATATGATTAGACATTATATGTACAAAAATAGCCCAGAATAAGAGGTATATTGCAAAAATGACTGTGTGGAAGTGGGCTGAAGGGAGGGAGGTAATTGTGCAACAATAAAGGCATTTTTTTTCCAGAGTGAATTGAAAAAGGAGGAAAGGTGGGAGAGGGGGTGAAATGTGCAACAATGAATGAATGAAAATTTGTTAAAATGACAATGAAAATGAAATATGTTATATTAAAAAAAACTATTTAAAATGATATAGTCTGTAATTGAAGAAAGTTGCCTGACAACTTGATTTCAGTCTGGGACAGCTCACTAAGTTCTCTCTAATATCTCTTTGAAAGCGTTTTAAAGTTGTAGATTTTCTTTGATATAATAACTCTATTTTAAATTCCCATTGTGCTGTCTCTTCAGCTGTACTGTTCCAGAACGGAAGTCACAAATTGAGGTAGAAACACATGACCATTGTAAGGTGCATCTTCACAATGAACTTGGAAAGAGTAGCATTTATCAAGGGAACTCTGATGGAGTGGTGGGTAAGGATCTGTGCTGCTAACCCAAAGGTAGGCAGTTTGAACTCACTAGCTGCTCTGAGAGAGAAATATGAGCACTTTCTCTTGTGATATTTATGGCCTCTGAAAACTTGCTGGAGGGGTCAGCCACTATTGGTTCTGACTTAACGGTACATAAAAACAACACAGATTTTATCAAAGGAGTTTTTGTTAGATCATTGAGCTTATAAGAATTTTGGTCAAATTTTAAAAAATAAAGTAAAATAAAATGTTCAACTAATTTATTAAAGGCTACATAGCCTCTCTGTGATTCATAATATGTGTAAGTTTTGAGAAGCCCTAAAATAGATTTATTTAGTATTATGGAAGTCAGTATTCACCAAATATATATGTTGTTGTTTTGTACCATTCAGTTAGACCCAAAGTCAATCAATCACGTGGGAGAAGATTGCTCACCTTTCTCCTGCAGAGCAGCTGATGGATTTGAACTGCCTGTCTTTGATTTGACAGTGTAACTCCTTAGCACTTAGCAACCAGAGCTTCCTCAATCCCGTTTAGGTTAGGACATTATCACACTTATCTCCTATCCCATGCTCTATGCTACAAATTGCTAGCCTATGTTAAGATAAAAAAAATAAATAAAAGCAAAACCAAACACCAAAATACAACCCAACATCAAGACTTTAAATTTTAGCACTATATTTACTACATTTATTCTGAACCTCTCCATGAATTAAGGAACTTGGCCTTGGGCAGGCAGTTTGAACCCATCAACTGCTCTGAGGGAGAAAGATGTGCAGTCTCCTCCAGTTTGACTTACAACCTCTGAAAACCTACTGAAGGGTCAACTAAGTGATTGGTTCCAACTCCACAGCACATAACATCATCAATGGTCTAGCTATGCAATTGCTGGTAACTCCATCCTTCATGTCCTCTGTGAGGTGGGTGTTAACTATTTCCATTTCACAGAGGCAAGGATTCGGAGAGTGTAACTGATGAATTAGATCATATAAGACCCTTAAGGAGATTGACATGGTGACTTTAGCAACAGGCTTGAGTGTGGATGGCACAGGATAGGGCAGCGCTCAGGTTGGCTGTTCATAGAGTCACTGTGAGGTGTATTCAACTTAACGGCACCTAACAACAACAAAATAGCTATCTATGACCCTGGTGGTATAGGGGTTAAAGTGGTCAGCTACATCTTGAAGGTCAGTGGTCTGTGCTAACCAAACATTCTGTGGACAAAGGATGTGGCTGTCGACTTCCATTAAGAAATATAGTCTTACAAAACCATGGGTTTAAAAGCAGTGGCTTTTAAATATATTTTTGGACCCAAATCTAGTGAACTCCAATGCTTCTATATTTAGACAGGTGTATCCTAAAGGTATTCCAGATTTGGTTCCAGACAATTACAATTAATTGAGTACCATAATAAACCAAGTTAATTCTTTGTTTTCAGTTGCTCAGTTATACAAAAGTTGTTGACATTATACTATGCATCTAGTAGCTTTATGAAAGCATTTGAAATATGAGAATTACCAAAGTAATACAGAAGCACAAAGTGACCACATGCTATTGGGAAATAAAAAATAGTACCGATAGACTTCCCTAACTCTGGGTTGCCACAACCTTCAAAAAAAAAAATTCAAAATCTGGGAAACGAAATAAAGCAAAGTAGAAGAAAATGAATTATGTTTGTACATGAAAACTGTCACTCACATGCTGTTATATTTCCTCTATTTTACTGTATTATAGTCTAAGTTACTGATGTCTTATTATTTCAAGGAAATATGTCTCTAGCTTTGTATGTGGTAGAAAAATTCATTTTCATGTGGTATAAAAAAACGTTATCTCTTAAATATATATTCAAATACATGTGGAGTATTACTGGGGCCTAGCAGACACTCCGCAGTGAGATATCCTGACGTAGGTAGGCGGCAAGGCTTAATAATATCCATCTTTTCCATCCATCTCTCACTTGTTTTTCTGGGATGCTTGGGTTTCTACCTCTGAACTATCTGCTTAAGCACTGGTGAGCAGTGATACCTTTCCTTGCCTCAGGTGCTACCAAAACCTAAGAAATAAAACTAAAGGTGGCAATATTGATGATGAGAGTCAAAGTAGAAAACTTCATTCCCGTAAGGGAGACAGTTCCATTTTTTTCAGAAATGAAGAGGTGTGTATGTCTCATCACCACCTTGTGATCAGGAATAGATTTGGTTCGTAGAAGAGAATTAGATGACTGTCTGGTTTGAAAATGAGTATTACTGTGGCGAGACATGATAGATTTTCCTTCGCCAACAACAAAAGATTGCTTGAACTTGGCAACAGCTGAGCATCACTTAGATGGGAATTTCATTATGCTCTTGCCTCACAACCTGACTTATTATGGATCTTTGACATTTCTTTAATATTTAAAATGTTGGTTTTTGCTGCTGTTGTTGTTATGTGTCCACCAATCAGAATATACTCTTTGCTGACCCTCCAGCAGGTTTTCTGAGGCAATAAATTGCACAGAAAAAGATGCTCATCTTACTCCTACAACATTTAAGAGAACAATAACAAAAATAGCCATATCTAATGACTTAGCGGTAAGGAATTGTCCTGCCAACCTAAAGTTACGTAGTTCAAATCAACCAGCTACTCCATGGGAGAAAGATAGGCAATCTCCCCTCATATGATTAACTGCCTATGAAAACCCACTGGAGGGTCTGCTATGAGTTGGTTGTAACTTGACGGTGCACAACAACAGCATGTAGTGTAATAAATATGTACATAGAAGGTTGTGGTAGCATTGGTGTCAACATTGAATGACATGCATACCATTTTAAAATGATATCTTTTCAGATATAAAATTACAGAATGTAAGATGAAACAGTAAGTTAAGCTCTATACATATCAAAGGCAGAAAATGTTCCAAACCATAAACCAAACTGGCCTTCTTGGTAGGTAAGCACTTAAGCCGACCACTGTTTTGAGCCTGATCTCTTAGTGTGGGAAGATGATTTGACAACTGCTCCCAGGGCCAAGAGCTACCTTCACACAAGGCCATAGTGAGCAGTCGAAGTCCTGTGTGAGTGCAGCCTGTGGGCCTGAGGCCAGAACAATGGGGGCAGGTCCTACGCCTCTGACCTTGACGGACTGTTTTGAAGTTGAAGGTCTGGAAGCCACCTGTCAATGCAGAAGAGTCAATGACGTCCACGCCATAGTCACTCTGGCTCCGTCTATAAAGGGTGACACCAATAACCAGGACAGCAACAGCCACAACAGCAGCGCCCAAGCCCGAGTACAAAGCAATGTCGCTGGCATTCTCAATGCCTGAAAGAGAGAAGAGAAATCTTAAGTGGCCAAGATATGCATGAACCCATGGAGCTAACCTGGGGGATAAAACAAAAGGCTATTGGATGTTGGAACTACTGCTTGGAGAAAATGACATATGTAGTTGACAACAAGTTGAACTCCCCTTCACACAATAATCATATTTCCAAAAATGCCTTCTATAAATCAAAGGGATGCTAGTTAGGCAAATGAACTTGATAAAGTAGTTTACCATTTAGTAAAATATTGAAAAGAATCAATTTCTCAAAAAATGTATTTTTTTCTAGAACAAGAAAAAGAAAACTCTTTAATTTACTTGTTTTAGTAAATCATATTCACCTGCAAAGTACCTTTATTTTTTTGTAGATTTTATTGTTATTCAAGGGAGTACATAAGACCCACATATAATGACAAAATATGAATGAACTCTTCAGCTTATAAAGGCCCTGGACACATGCATTCCTAGAGGGCATTCTGAGGAAAAAGGATACTGCAAATATCTAGGAGTTAAAGGAGAGGAGACCAGAACTCACAACAAAGAATTTGAATTTTGTCACAAATCATTCTATTTGAAAGAACACTAGAAACGTTAGCTCAGGTTATAGCGTAATTGTGAGAGTTTTTGTTGTGAGATCTGCAGGTCTGTAGTCCTTGACACTTCATATTGTATGTCTTTCACAGATGTTTCCCAGCACCAATGCAATGCTGTAAGGTAGATTTGTGTGTGTGCGCATGTGAAAAAGAACTGGAGCTCTGAAGGGGCACATGCTTGTTTCTCCCATACCTCTCCTACTCCATCCTATTGAATGCATGGGCAAAGCAAAAATAACAGCGTTAGTTTGAATTTAGTATTTGTGTATCTCCCATCCCACCACAAAATGTTGTAACTCCTTTTCACCTCTTTTGTCCAGGAGTACTCTAGGCATATTTCTTTCTTGACTCTTACTCATAAAGGCCACAGCAATTCAGCACAAGAGATTTATCAGAGACCAATAATCCTAAAAGAAGTGTAATCTCAGAAAGTGTGTGGAAACTGACGGTGGGAAGTGCTAAGTCGACAATTACTCTTTCCACGTATTAGGTGGTAAGTACACTTAATAGGTCCAAAAGTAATTACTGTGTCACCCTGTGTTGAGCTTAAGGGATAAAATAAACCCATCGTATATTTACCTTGTAATTGCATGACACTTACTTTGCATTCACTGCACCCTAACATGGTACTTATGTTATCAAATGAGTAATACTAACCACCTAAGTAAAGTGAATTTATTTTCAACAAAGTTAGTGGACTGTAAAATGAGGTGCCACCAAAGGAAAGCATGAACAAGGAAATCAAGCAGAACCAGTTCAGTAATCAGGTAGTAAACACATAAAACTAATTCACAAGGTGAAAGCATAACCCTCAGAAAGAACAGGATCTGAAAGGTCAGAGGTTTATCAGGGGTTTTAACAACGAGAACAACTGTGTGGGTGTTGAGAAACAACACATGGTTTAGATTTTAGCTCTGACTTCTGGCTAATTCAAACTGGAGAGGAACAAGGATGCGGGGGAGATTCTCAGAACACTTAGAACCATGGACAGTGATTGACGCCAACCTCTGAGACTTCAACGTATGCCCCTGTCTATGAGGAAAGCAGGAGAACAACAATCATACTACCTTATCTCCTACTCTCCTTCTAGGTCAATTTATCTCCACTTAGGGTCCTTGGAGAACATCATTCTACCAAAAGAAGAGAGGTCAGAGAACACAACAGATGCACCAAGTCAGAGTAGCGGAGTAAGGAGGGCACTTTGGAGTAATTAGTCTTTTTCCCCCTTCCTTCCAATTCCTCGGGCATTGTTGACTGACGACACAATCCTCTCCAAAAGGTGTATCCAGGGAGAACACATCTGCTCAGCAACTGAACACACGCTGAGAAACAGCCTGATGGTGTACCGAAGACAGCTGCTCAGTGGCTAAGTTGGCAAAGAAGAGACAAAGATCTCTTTAAAATAGAAGGGCCAGCAGCCAGAGGGAACCAGAGAAAAGCATGTCTCCTAGAAGTGGACATCACTGGATACGATAACTCTTGAGGCAGGGGAGGGGGACTGGCAGGGGGCGGTAACAAGAACAAATTGCTTCTCTGGTATCCCAGTTTATCCTTCTTGTTGCTACTTTCCTGTTACATGAGGAATCTGAAGCTTCATTCTCTCTCCAGATCCTAGTCCTGTTTTTAGGAAAAGACTCCATTTATACTTTTAGACTGAGTTATATTTATTTCATATGGCTCTATGAGTTCCCTCTTCCAGGACTATTTTCAGAGTGTTTTATTTAAGTCAAGAAAATGAGATAGTACTTTTTTTTTAAGTGAATAGAAGGACTTTGGGGATAGTATGTAGAAAGAAGAGATGGGAACTGCTTTAGAAATCACTGGTCATTCTGACATAAGGATCATTCTGACACTTAGTAGTACCAAAACCAAAAGGAAGCCCACATCCATTGGGTTCATGCTACTGAACAATAATCCTATAAAACAGAGTATAATTGCCCCAAAGAGTTTCACATTTTTCTCTCAAGGAGTGAGGAGTGGTTTGAACCACCAACCCTCTGATTAAAAGCCAAGTACCATAACTGACACCAGGGCTCCGTCTTCATAGGACTAAACCAAAACCTAACACACTGCTGTTGAAGTGATTTTTACAATCTTCCATTGTGTTCCCACATCTGTAAAATTTTACACAATGAGACTGCCCATGGAACAGCCAGTGTATTAGAACCATCAAACTACTGGTTATTAGTGCAACATACAATGCACTACACTGCCAGGGCTCCTTTCCTGGTAGCGTAGACACATAAAAAACCTAAGAGCTAATTCAGAAGGATTTCTATAAAAAGACAGTGTGAAT